CACCATGATGATAATGACAAACCCTCTGAAACTGTAACCAAGGCCCCAATTAAATGTTTTCTTTTATAAGAGTTGCCTTGGTATTGGTGTCTCTTAATAGAAATAAAACCGTACCTAAGTTTGTTCTCAGCATCAGGAGTATCTCTTCCTGGAGGGGACATAACCTTCAACAATATCACCTTCACTGGGAAGGGCTGGGGCTGCTGGGCTTGCTCTCCTCAGTGTCTCTCCAGGAGTTGAGAGGAGAGAAAAGGGATGGACAGGAGTGCACTCTCTCAGAGACGCAGCAGTGTAATCATGAACACTGAGGCCCCCCAGGCACTATCCACACACGGGAGAGACACACAGCGTGAACCCCGAAAAAGTGTCCATATGAGTGCAAAGGGGGCAATGGAAACTCAGCTCTGTTCACCCTTCCCACATTCTCTGTGTGGCTCTGCACTGAGTCCAGGCGCACAGCAGGACTCAAGGTGAGTGTATTTTGTGAGCACCTCTCCCAGGGGAACACACGTAGCTCCTGCCGCTCTCACAGCTCTGCCAGGCCGTGTATATACAGCCAGAGAACGCCCTTCCCACTTTCCAGCTCAGCCTTGTAGTTACGTGAGTCTTCAGCTGCTGCAGCAATGCTGCTAAATCAGTATCTAATCTAAAGGGTGGTGCTGGAGGGCACTGGGGAGCCGTGCAGGCTGTTTCTGAAGGCTGACAGCAGGAATCTGACGGGCCTAGCTGCCCTCTGCGGAGCGGCATACTGGGAGAATGGTGGTATCTAGCTGCAGGCTGGCACAGACCGGCGGACCCCACTTGCTCTGTCCCACTATTCATCACTACCACAGTCACCAATGGGTCTGCCCTCCCATCGCTCATCTCAACAGCTGCTGCTGGGTCCTGCCCTCTCCTCCAAGACCAAACCACAGCCTGAGTGGGACCTGGGCCTTTCAGGTCTGGCTACTTTGTGCCCTGGTAAGCTGTGCCATTGTCACCACACTGTCCTCCACTTCTCTAAACTTTTTGTACCTCCCATTTTGTTCTATTTCAAACTTGCCTCAGTTTCCTGCTCAGCTACGCCTATGGGCAATGTAATTCATTCACCAAATTTTCCATGTACGTTGCTGTACTGTTCATGCCTGCATATGCTACTTTAAAAGCAATGTTCTTCATAGCCTTCTGTCCTACTGCTGTGTGACGCCATCTGTTGCCCCCAATAGCTCATCACTCCTGCCATCCATTCACACATACACAAACATGCTTTCTTCGTACACACACCCCTCTCAGTTCACATTCTTTGGAACTTTATATGGGAAAATTCGTTGAGACTTGGACTGAAAGAGAAGACTGGATTTGCTTTGATGGGCACATGATTGCCTGAGTGGATGCTGACCCAGGACTGACCTAGAACTCATGAACTGAGGCTTTCAGAGCACAGCTGTGGACTCAGCATCAGGCTGAATGGCATTTACCATAGTTCACTTCTTCCACAAGGCACTGGCACGCACAGCCCAGTGCGGGGATTAGGGTGCCAGTCTGGAGGCCTAGTAATGTAAAGAAGGCTTCCCGGGTACACACGAAGTGGCCACACAGACCCACGCTTGAAGCTCTTGCTGCAGTTTCACCTGTGGTCACTTCTGTGCTTATCAGTATGAACTGAAGAGACGGTGCCCACGCCTCACCTGGCACATTCCGAGAACAGCCTGTGGCAGGATGGGAAGATGAGGACACAGGAAGGGGAAAAAGAGTCCTTTGCCCCAGAGACTGGCTGAAGTCTCTCACTACATGAGAATCAAAAGTTCCAGGATAATGAAAACTTCTGTGAGGGCTGCAAACAGAGGGACAATATTTCTTTTATGGATAGATATTTCAAATAAGGATATTTAAAAAGCAACAAACCCTGAGTAGAAAGGGCAACACCCTATAAGTTTATCAGTGAACTGGGCACTTCAGGGGCACACAGGCATGCAAAAAATATCACATTGGGAAAACAGAATGCAAGAACTTCCTGAGTAAATCAGACCGAGGTAGCACATAACTCCCTCCCTGCACCCCACAAAGGAGTGAACACTGAGCAGGGCGGTGATGACCCCACCACCAATCATCTGACGCCTGGCGCACATCACAGATGGAGAGACAGAATTCCTAACCTTCCCAGGAACTTTGTCTTGGCTTAATTTGCCACAGTGTTGACATGGCCTACGAGAACTGCTGTCTGTCTGTCCCTGTTCACCTGTCTGGACTGGCACAGGTCCATCCATCCATCCACATGCTCATTCATCTAGATGAGGTCACTCCCTTCACCTCACCTCACTCCTGCAGCTCAATTCTGATCGTGCAGCCTGACTCTGCAATAGCCCCTGAGCTTCCCCTTGGCTTCCTACTGTACCAATAGACTTATTTGCACTTTTATCAGTTGCCCTGTTCTCAAGACTTCTGAAACCCCATGAACTCTGCTGCAGCATAGATACATACATGCAGGCATACACATAAAATATATGTACTTCTATATGCTGTGTGATATGTAGTGAATAATTTGAGAGTTAATATTAGTAATTAAGATTAGAATGAAAGAATCTGGTGTTCACTAAGTGGGCTAAATGGGAATATCTAGTAAATTGTTGTCATCAAAACCTCTGTCTGAATTTATTATTATTTGTAGAAAGTATTCTGACATTGTAGAAAGACACAGATGCGTTTGTCTACGTTCCTGACACACCGTGTTCAGGACACAACCTTTGAGATGCAACCGTGGAAACCACCAAGAGCACACACTGTAAAGACGCTTCAGCAAGGCTAGCCTGAGAAGCCTGCGCACATGCAGGGGCACGCTCTCCTTCCCCTAGGCACCTCTCATGTACGTCCGTGCTGATCCCGGTGGTAAGAGCTCTGTCTTTCTAATCAGTTCAAACCCTGCTTCATACTGATTCACCGGACGATTCTGGCTTCACCTGAGTAAAAGCCCCTGAAACGGTCTTCTTAGGCAGCTGCAGGAAGTAATGGGGCGGTTTCCAGCCCTTTCCCCATTGCTGCTGACATCTGGGGTAGGGAATAAACTAATAAAGCAGAAGGCAGGACCTGAAATACAAGTACAAGCTCTTTCCACAAGCCTCAGGACCTGAGTTCAAAAGCCAGGACCCACATAGTGGAAGAACAGAACCAACATCCCAGAATTTGTCCTCTGACCTCCATTCCTATTCTATGACAAGCGTACCCCTTCCACCAGGGTGCGCGTGTAATTTTTGTTTACAGCCCGGAAGTCAGCTTACTAAGGTTATCTGGGAGGAGAGAGCACCTGCCAGGGATCATCAGTGTGCCTCAGAAGGCTTCTCATGCCAGCAGTTCAGGGGTGCAGCAGATCTGGGGCTCACTGTAAATGGCTGCCTAACCTCTTGGGGGCTCGTGTTACCACCCACTGCCTTTGTTTGGCTGTTATCCCTGCTTCTGGCATCTGAAAAACCACATCTAAGCCCCAAATTAGAAAACCATGACTCCTATTTCTAAACCTGCCAGTGTCTGGCAAGCGCCGATTCCCTGCCCACCAGAGGGGTCCCAGGCGCACATCCTTCCTGCTTGCTCGCAGCACTGCTGTGGTGCCAGGCCTCCTGTCCATGGGCCTCTACCCGTACACTGCCCAGATAAGACAGGAATGTGCTCGGGAGTTCACAGCCGGCGGGTGCCCACAGCCGGCGGGAGGGCAACACACACCACTTTTCTAAAGTCACCCCACAGCTTTTTCTGTAAAACATTCTTCAGCACAGACTTGACTCCTGACGGCATTTTTCAGTCTTCAGTTTTGCTTTGTGTTTTAAATCTAAGTGTGTGCAGACAACACAAACAGCTATGACTGTTGGGGCCTCAGCGGGGTGGCTTCAAGGCAGACAGAATCGAGTACACCCTCCACCTTCCTCAGGGGTGGGCAGCAGGAGTGGTTTTCCAAAAATTAGACTCATTAAGTCATCAGGACACGCTGTTTGCTACTGCTTGAAGTGGCAATGGGCAAGGATATAATTCAGCTGCTAAAAATGCCCTCGGAATCAGAATAGCGATTTGAAACCACACAGCCCATAATTCTAAACCCAAAAGGTGGAGTCCCTGGCTCAGGGCTGTCTCCTTTGATCTAGAAGAACCGCAAGGGAGGCTGCTACGCCTGCCTGGGTGATCGTCTTGGCTCCGTTACTAGCTCCAATGTTGTGCTCACAGCCTCCTCGCTATTTCCACTCTCACTTTCAGATCACTGCTAAGGGCTCTACAGTGTCACTTCCTGTCCCCACATGCTCCCAGCCACAGCCCAGAGTCTTCTCAGACTGGGAGCAAGGCACACTAAAAATTCACGCTGAAAGTGAAAAGCTCTCATCCCGGACCACAAACTCACAAGTTACAGCTCCCGTGGCTCTCCCTGCCTTACTCAAAGGTATCTATTACCAACAAATACTTTCGAGGTCTTTCTCCTCAGTTAACAGCTCTGCATACATATGTCCCTTAAATTGTTTTTTAAAGAAATGTGGTGTGGGACAAGGAAGTTTTAAAATATCTTCTCTCTTAAAATTCTCACTTGAGCCCTTAATGCAGACTCCTGGTAATTTATGTACACGAGCATTTTGCCTGCGTGGATGCGTGTGCACTGCCTATAGACCTGCTCCTGCAGAGGCCAGGGAAGGGTGCCACCCCCTTGAACTGAAGGAAAGATGGTGAGGCACCCTGCAGGTGCTAGAAACTTGAACCCAGGTCCTCTGCAAGAACAGTAAATGCCCTTGGCTGCTTAGCCATCTCTCTGGCCTCAGTTTCCGACTTTCTCAAGCAGTTCTTTGCAAGTCCGGGGGTGGGGGAAGTGGCTCCGGAGTTTCCCGTGCTTCAGGGCCCTGGAGACCAAGGACACTAGCCGGTTGGGCCAGCGGTGCCCACTGTGGCCCACACAAGAGCCCCTCGGATGCTGTCTCATGTGACAAATGTGCATCCTGGCACGGCTAGGCAGGCAGGGCAGTGGCACCCATCACAGCAGCAGCAGACATTACCAGAGCGACTTCTCGACAATCTTGGTCCGGAAAACCTCCTCCTGGTCCAGGTTCACCGTGCAGTAGCAGTCCCGCATTTTGTTTGGCCCCGGGTAGGAAGGAAGGTTCTTGGCTTCACCTACAGAGGAAACGGGACACACACCAACTTAGCACAGACTGCTCAACATTCTCGCTGTTACACGCATCGCCGACCTACACACAGTCCCCAGTCACACACACGCCCGAACAGTGGAGTCACCTCACAGAGAGGCGCGTGCCTTCGCCTTGCACACTCACTCACTCTTCCTGTGGTGTGGTTTTCTTACAAGTCAAAACATTGTCTGGAATGATTTTTGTTACACGTGCATCTACGGCTAGAGCCAGCCAGGAGAGGGAGGCCTGCCGCCTTGGGACAGGAGATTACTTTCTGTTCGTTTGCCCACACTAGTCCCTTCCGCTTATGAACATTTCGATCAAGGTAAAGAGCACACAGAGCGTGGCGCTGCGGCCAGCTCTAGGCATAGTGAGCAGAGTAAGTGTGGTCATACAACGCTGAGCACCAACGCCTCCATCGAGCCAGGGCTTCCGTCACCTCTACCCCTCTCAGCAGGGCCTCCAATGCCCCCCTACACTGCCCCTGCCCCTTCCCAGCACCCACCTTCTACTTCCTGCCTCTGTGACTCGGTGGCTCGGGGGGCTGCCCCACTGAAGCCATGTCTACCTTCTGGGGCTGCCCTACTTCGCTGCCTCCATGCTGCAGCATGCTGTGGCTTAGGTGCAGGACGTTCCCGAAGACTCACATGATAAAGGGCTGGTCCCCCGGGGTGGAGCCTTTGGGGATGGGAGGCTGTGGATTGCTTTTGAGATTGTGCCTTTGAGAGGGTTGTGGGACTCTGCTCTGTCCTCCCTCTCTTACTGCCCGGCACAAGGTGAGCAGTGTGTGCCACCATCGTCAGCACCAAAGTCCTAACACCACGGGGCCACACTATGTTAGCCTGTAGTCTCTAAAATGCAAAACATGTTAGGATTTCCTTCCTCTCGAGGCTGAAAGACAATCCATGCTTGCATAGACAACATTTTGTCCATTCAAGTGTCAAGTGGTTTTCTTTTTATGTTTAATTCTTTTATTATGGCAAAGATAGTAAGAACCACAAGGACACATTTTTCATTCACAAAATTAAACTATAAACTCCAGCCGTGATCTGCCAGTTGGAAAAAAAAAAGTTCAGAAGAAGAAAAAGCCTGAAATGGCCTCTGCTCTCCTGTAGGCCCTTCTTCCTCTGAGAAGCCCTACAAAGGTCCTGAATGTGTCGGGAGATTGCAGGAGATTCTGAGGCATCCAGTGCCAGCAGGCCCTGTAGAACAGTCTTGCCATACTGCAGCTATCTACCCCTGAGTAGGTATAAAAGATTTTCCAATCTCAGCTATTTGCTCCTGGGCCAGAAGCTCAGAACAGCTCTGGAAGCGGCCCAGTCTATGGGTGAACTAGGTGGACAATACAAGTAGTAGCTTTTATCTTAGACAACAGCACCCATAAAAGTGCAGGCAGGTAAAAGAATACCTTGGGAACTCCCTTGCCTTCTAAAAGGCCTCAACTACTTGAGCCATTTCGGTTTTAAAGGGGCCTGGTACCAGATGCCCATGTGCAGCAGTCTATTGGTATAAAGAAAGGAGGAAGGATATCATTCCATCACATCAGTATAAAGGAAGAAGGGAGGTTAAAGACTTAGTTTCCAATGTTCTACAGAGCAATTTCTTATCAGTTGAAACCTTCCACCCTGGAAAGAGGTTCCTTAAGACTCTGAAAGTTCTAAAGAGAGATTCATTAAAACTCAGGAAGTAAACAACTCACAAGTCTTAGGAAGTCCCTAAAACTTACAAGACTCAAACAGTAAGGACTACTTAAAAGAGATTCTCCCACTTGTTTAGCTACGAGCTCTGCAGAGGTCTCCAGGTTTACAGCTTTTGTGAGCTGTCACCCCTGCTTGGGTGGCTTTTGGTGATTCAGCTGCTTGGAGTTGTTCCTGCTTCTGTATGTGAACCCTCACTCATATTCCTTTAAACAACCCAGCAAACTCAAGCTGGATTTTGGTAGTATTGGTACTTTGGTCTGTTATCAGCTGACTATGGGGTGAGTAGGTATTTGTTCATGTCTTCCCAGTAGTAGTGCCATATAACAGCCAGCAACCCTGGAGGCACATACGCACCTGTCAAGACCACTTTATATTGGTATTAACAACCGGCACAACCAATCGTGCCATAACAGAGCTCTATACTCAGAGCTGGGCAGACAGTACTTAACATCCTTATCTTCCTCAAGTGATAAGCAGGCAGGCACATATGCTCAGCTTTTTGAAGAAAACAATTTAACCAGAAAGATAGCAACTTACAAACTGGTCAACCAAAAAGTCCACAGGGCATCTAGTTCACTTTCAAACTTTTCATTAGGGTTGTTCATATGAGACACACGATGAAGGAAATGGTTAATAGAAGCTTTTTCTCCAATGAGCAGTTTTTTTATATTCCTTTTTTTTTTCTGATGACCTGTTAAAACATGTCATCTATTAGAGCTGCTCACAGTTCTTTAATTTGCATGAGGCTGTTTCCAACAGTGGCATAGCCACCTGCTGGTCTTACAGCTCACTTGACTGTGGTGAATGAGACTTTGGATGTGTGGTTAAACGCAGTTTGGAAATATTTTGTCGCTGCATTTAACATTTACTTTAGGGTATTGGCCTGTCATTTTATTTGTCATTATGTCCTTGTCCAGTTTTGTTTCGGTGTAATACCAGCTTCATAAAAATGAGCTTGGCAGAGTTCCTTTCCTGTCTCTCTTATGGGGCAGTGTGAGAAGCACTGATATCGGCTCTTGTTTAACAATGGTATAGTTGAGTTGTGAACGTGTCTGGGCTGGGATTTTATTAGCTGGGAGTCTTTTAGAGGATTGTTACTTATTTACATATATGCGTGTTTTGCCTATGTGCCACATGTGTGCATACCTCTTGGAGGCCTTACCTGGGTGTTGTATTCCCTGGGACTGTTGCTGTATATGGCTATGAACTACCACACGGGTGCTGGGGTTCAAACCCAGGCCCTCTAGAAGAGCAGCCAGTGCTCTCGGCTGCTGAATCATCCTTCTCTAGCCCCAGAAACCCTTTTAATACTGATTCAACTTTATTGCTTGTTCTATATCTACATATGTTGTTTATATGTTCTTGGTTTAAATTTGGTAGGTAATATGTGCCTAGAAACTCATCTCTTTTGGCTAGATTTTTCAGATTATTGGAGTGTGGGCTTGCAAAATATGGCCTGATAATCCTCTGAAATTCACTGATTTTTTTTTTTGCAATGTTCCCTTTTTACCTCTGATTTTACTAATTTCAGATCTTTCTTTTTGTTTGAGTAAGAGTTTGTCGCTTGCTCATCTTTTTTAAAAGCCAACACTTCGGTACGTTGATTCTCTATGTTCTTCTTTTTGTGTGTGTTCTTCTTTTTGTTCCTGTTTCACTAATGTATGTTCTGATCGTCATCATTTCTTTCCATCTGCTGGTTGTAGGCTTGGATTGTTGTTTTTCTAAGACCTGGCATCTCTTGAAACGCTTTTATTGTACCAGACACCTCCCTTCCAGTAGGTTGAAATATCAGTCTCTCTCGACCCCTGCTTTCTTTGATGACCCATTCACTATTCAGTAGTGTATTTCTCTGAGTTTGTGCATGTTCTGCTGTTGATTCCTAGTTTTACTCATTGTGACCAGATAGAACACAAGCAATTACTTTAGTTTTTTGCCTTTGTTAATCCTTGCTTTCTGCCCTAAAATGTCGTTGACTTCACGGAAATTTCCACAGGCTGCTGAGAAGGATGTACATGATATAGTGTTTGAGAAGAATATTCTGTAGACGCCTATTAAGTCTATTTCATCTTTTTTTCCTCCTGTGAAAGGGTCTTACTACATAGCCCTAGCTGTCTTGGAACTCATCCTGTATACCAGGATGGCCTTGAACTCACAGAAATTTACTTGTCTCCATCCCCAAAGTGCTAGGATTAAAGATGTACACCACCACACCTGGCTCCTATTTCATTTTATAACATTATTAAACTCAAATGTCTCTTTGTTGAGAGAGAGAGAGAGAAAGAGGGAAAGTATGTGAGGGAGAGAGAAAGAGAGGGAGAGAGAATGTGGTCTATTAATAACAGCAGGATATTGAAGTCCACCACTGTTACTGTGTTGAGGTCAATCTGTACCTGAAGATGGTCTATGACACCCACATAAGCCAGAGATCGGTGGAGTGCAGCTATCCTAATAGGTGGGTGATGGTGGCAACACATGAGTTTCATTCTTAGAGCCTGGGAAGTAACAATGCTCTCACTATTGCAGCTCCATTAACCACATCTCTCAATCCTTGCTCCCTGCCAAGGGATTTCCATGACTCTGAAAACACACCAACAGAAGTCAATGGCAGCACTTGAGAACTAACAAAATAAACTATAAGCCAGCAAAACCTGAGTCTAAGCCTGGGGAACCAGGAAGGATTTGGCAGCTGGCTGATAGCTTCCTCCCTCCGAGACTCTGAACTGAGGAGGGTGGGAAGGGCCTCCTGGAGCCCAGGCTTCCTTGCAGCACTGAAGCCAGCGTCTCTGAATCAATAATCGGGACTCAGAGTTTACATCTGTCAAGATCATGTATTCTAACAACACTGAAGTGTTTTTCCAAAAGGAAGACTTTTGCGATTAAAATATTCTATTCTTGGAAGGCATTTTTACTGCCTTATTATTTTAGTGAGTCTGGATTTCTAAGTGACATCACACAGTCCAAGAGCATGCTGAATTAGAGAGCTCAGGAACCACAGACCTCCAACATAGAGTGGGTTCCTGGGAAGAGCCTGCACAGTGCTACCACAGCTCAGATTCCCCCCAGTTTCCACAAAGCACAGGAAGCACTTTACAGTGAGAAAAATGGGCATAAAATAAGACTCATGTGGAAATAAAGAGACTGAGAATGGCAAAAAGAATGAAAATTACATCTACCCACCCCTAGCTTATGGGAACAGCTTTCCACTGAGCTTTCTGGGAAATGTGGTATCACATAATCTTACTATTTTATTTAAAAATGAAATGCACCAACTCTCCAGGAGGGATTT